GACAATTGATATGCCACGTCAGATGGCGACCACTCCACAGACCATGGGCAGGGTGGCCACTCATGATCGCACCCCAACCGGTGAGGGACGCGTCCGTCGCTAGCGTACGTGGCGACAAGGAGCTTCCAGCACCGGGCCCTGAGACAAGAACCAAGGTTTCCTCCACATGTCTAAGGCACGTAGGCACCTCCGCATGACCTTGAGCATGCGAAGCGGGTTTCCACTCGGGGAGAACCCCTTGGTCTTGAGCCACCACTGTAGGGGTATCATGTACAGCAGGCCAAGAGTTATCACGTTGGATGCAGCTGCCATCAGACCCAGCAGTCTGGAACTGATTGACAGTGAGTGACCGGCCTTCTCTTACTCTCGCGACTGCGGTGAGGATCGACTCAATCCGAGCAGGAGACATCAGGAGGGACTGACCGAGTTCCTGAAGAGGAACAGTATTTTTCAGTCAAGACGGTAAACAGATTATCTTTTTAACAAGTTCAAGGGGATACTTGTATGTTTGGATTGTTGGGTAATCTGTATTTTATTTAAATCGCCATCACACCACTACGCACAAACAACGGGGACGCCAGAGTTGCACATGCCTCAAATTTCAAAGGTAAAATGCATTGTTAACAAAAGCTTTTTGCCAAATGCATGACAGAAATGTTTGCACTGAACTATGTTCTTAGGGTTTCCGCAGGTCCTTAAAAAGTCTTCAGTTAAATCATTTAAATTTAAGGCCATGAAAACTCTTAAATGATACAGAAAGTCTTAATTATAAGAGGTCTTAAATTTGGGGACAGAAAGAGAAGAATTGATATATAGATTAGTATGTCGATTAAACTTTAAAATGATTTCACTGAATAAACTTGAGTGCTGCACGTTTCAAAGTCAGGAGCTGCTGCTTAGTACTGCCGTTACCGAGGAAACTGGAAACTGCTATATTTCTGCAGTTCCGAAAGTGAAACTTGCTGGCAGAGAACGAATGCTTTTTCAATAAGCCCGTCTGCTATTTTTGCTACATATTTTTAAATGTGAACCAGTGGATCGACAATAAGCTAATGCATTATACAAATTTAAACAATTAAGACACTAAGATATATTTATATGTTATTTAATATAATAATTGATTTATAATAATTGTTTAAATTAATGTAATAATTGATACTTTTGACTCACCCCTTTAAATGGTTTCGTGGTGCAAAGCGGCCCATTAGAGTATCATTAAAATAATTCCCGCCTATGGAAATTCGAATGGTTGGGGGTGGGGAGGGGCGAGGTTGTGGTTAGAACGCTTGGTTGAGTGCATCAGACAAGACGACGACGAAGAAGAAGTGCTGCTGTACCCTCAAGTTATTACACATGCACCTGAATAATTATGTATGTAAATACGTATGTTACAATTATGAAAAGGTTTTTTTTTTTAAATGGCTGACAGTACAATACTGGACAATTATGTAATCTGCAGAATTTACACTTCGATTATGAGACTACAGTGTTTCCCATACACTGAGTGCGGGCGGGTGTTTTTATATCACTGTATTTCTGAAGGAAACCGACTGTCTTCAGAAAATTCATTTTCATTTAATCTTGCATGTACTGTCTGATAAAGCAGTGTTTTTTTTTGCTGCTTTGTGTACAGCCGTTACCAGGGAAACCTTGATCTCTACTACTCCAACAAGCGCCTCCTGCTGGCAGAGAATGAGTTTGCATAGATATGCCGCCTAGGAGACACTGGACTATGGCATAAATAAATTCAACCGTATAACAGTTTAACTGCAATTCATGTTATAATATTAGAATTAAATAACAATAAAAATAATACATATGCACTTATCTGTACATAGTAAATGCAGTTATTTTTAAGCGCTTGTTGACATCCTATCTAAAACGTGATTTAGCCAAAAAAAACTAAAAACAATAACGTTACCACTCTAATATGTCTTGCAATATCCGTGCGTGCAGAGGTTCTGCGCGATCCTCTTGTTCAATATTCTCTGGGTCTGAATCCGGCTCAAATTGATATGGCAATATTGACGCCATCCTTAAAGGGGTCATATGATGTTGCTATTAGGTAGGCGTGGCTGACTCTTAACTTTTATAAAGAATATCTCTTTGGATTTGAGACTTTAGTCTTTGCAACTTTACAGATCTTCTTTATGCACTAAGAGCTTGTAACACTCCAAAGAGAAAGGAAAAATTGAAATCGCATCATATGACCCCTTTAACTAAACCGGAGCAGACGGAACTTGCTGCTTTAGCAAGGGGTGTGGCAGTACTGAAACACCGTCTAAGCTGTTCGCCAATCACAACACACTAGGACAGCTAACCAATCACATCACATTTCATTTTTTCGGAAGGCGGGCGTTCATCAAACCCGGAACTAATCGAGCCGTTTGTGCCAGACTGGGGAGAAAGGTATTGCAATAATGTAAATTCTGCAAAAAATAATGCGTTTTTTGAACCACCAAGCATGAGAGCATGTTCTAGTACACCCCCAAAACAAATTCAAGACATTGTAAAAGAGCATAATAGGACCTCTTTAAAAATTGTTTAAAGGCTGAAATGTGAAGTGCAGGTCTTAAAATTTGAAAACAATCCTGCAGTGACCCGGTTATTTTATGGTACCATTTGGAATTCCTTTTTTTTTTTTTTTAACAAGCCCTTTTTAACTGTCCTCTTATGTTATTTTGAGAATGTTCTGTAGGCCACTAATAAAAAATAGGACCTCTGTACATTTGTTTGTTGCAAGTTTACAGACAATGCAATTGAGATGTTTATTTGTTGGGGTAATATTGCTGTCAACTGACAACGAAGTTTCCCTTCTGAATTAGCTTAACTGCACAAGTTTTATAGTTAATAAAATCTTTAAAAACAAATGACATTAATTATACTTTCCTTCAATAAAAAGGAAATTGAGTAAGATGGTGTAAAAGGTGTGTGGACGAGGATCAGTAATCTGGCCCCTTGGTATAAAGGAGAAAAATTGCTGGCCCTCGTCACTATCAAAGTTGCCCATCCCTGATTTAAAGTGACAACCATCAGTTAATATTTAAAGTCTGTTTACGAAGAATTTGCATAGACGTTCAATGTGGGAGAGCTTAAAGAGAGCACATTGAGCTTAATGGGAGCAGAAACAATTTTTTATAAATTTAATGTAATATTTGTTAAAATGACATTATTTTGCAAAATAAATAATCTAGGTCATGTATTAAGTTTATACATATTTTAATATGAACAACTATTATTGACAATGTCTAAGAAATTATACTTTTTCTTATTGATGTCACACTGAAGCTGTGTGATTTTCATAGTAGTATACCCTTTAAGTTGCATACGGTTTTCTTTAGTTTTAATTTGCCTAACTATCGATCTGACCCAGTAGACGCCATAATTCCACTCTGTCTCTCTCCCGCTTTGTTTTTTTTTTTTTTAATGGTGGGTGTTTACACAGTTGGTTAGAGCAGTGCTGATTGGGGAGAACGGAGGTGCGCTCACTCTTGCCCAGGGCAAGTAAGACTGCAACTCAAGGCTGGCAGTCATGCATATGCTCTGGAACAGAGTAATATCGCGTCCACATCGCAGGCTTTACGATTAGGAAATCGCAATGTCTCAAATCGCTATTTCGTTTCGATTTCGATTAATCGCACAGCCCTATTGAGAAGTGGTTCTTCTGCTAACAACTCTTTCAGTAATTTAGTGGGTACAGGATCTAACAGGCATGTTGTTGATTTAGATGCAGTGATAAATTTATTTAGCTCTTCCTGTCCTATAGTTGTAAAGCACTGCAGTTTATCTTTTGGTGCGATGAATGAAGCTGAAGTATTATACGCTGTAGAATCTACATTTGTTATTGTATTTCTGATGTTATCTATTTTATCGGTGAAGAAATTCTTAAAGTCATTACTAATCAACTGTGAGGGAATAATTAGATAGGGAGGCGTCTGGTTATTTGTTAATCTGGGTTTTTGTAAAAACCCAGCCACCATTGTCATCGCTATTTCCAGCCCTATTTATAGCCAGATCACCCCTGCTGCCTCTACCACGTCTCCCGGCTCTCCCACGCACAGCACGGCCACGTGTACTGCGGCCACTCCCACCTCTTTGGGGCGCTGGATCCAAAGATCTAGTGCTACTTCCAGCCCTATTTCTCCTACCCCTGCTACCTCTACCTCTAGCAACAGCTCTCCTATTATATTATATTATATTACATTATATGGACACTACGACCACGTTCACCCCTGCCACTCCCATCCCCGTTGGGCAAAGTGTCGAAATGATCGCTTGTTTGGGCTTCGTGAACACTCGCGCCTTGCACGGCGGCACCATTGCGCTGCAAAGATGTACCAGGAGAAGCGCAATCATAAACCCAGCCACCATTGTCATCGCTATTTCGAGCCCTATTTAGATCCAGATCATCCCTGCTGCCTCTACCACGTCTCCCGGCTCTCCCACGCACAGCACGGCCACGTGTACTGCGGCCACTCCCACCTCTTTGGGGCGCTGGATCCAAAGATCTAGTGCTACTTCCAGCCCTATTTCTCCTACCCCTGCTACCTCTACCTCTAGCAACAGCTCTCCTATTATATTATATTATATTACATTATATGGACACTACGACCACGTTCACCCCTGCCACTCCCATCCCCGTTGGGCAAAGTGTCGAAATGATCGCTTGTTTGGGCTTCGTGAACACTCGCGCCTTGCACGGCGGCACCATTGCGCTGCAAAGATGTACCAGGAGAAGCGCAATCATTAGACGACCGATCGCCATTTCCAAAAGGCAAATATTCCCCTTCAGAGTCAGAATCGGCGAATAACATTTGCAACACATCCTCACGGTACAACTTTTTATTAGCCATTTGGCAATTTTCTCTCACAAATCTCACAATTTACTCACACGCTCTGAACTGAACTGCTTCCGCAGACTTTAAATGAGTTTAAATGTTGAGGGAAAAACACCAGTGTGAAGGGATGTGTTAATGATGTGAGTGAGTGCAGGTACAACTGCAGGAGAAATGGCTTGAAGGAGATGAGATGGAATAGGATCAAGCGGACAAGTAGTATGATGATTGGAAAGGATGAGTTTAGAGACTTCTGCCTCAGAGAGTGGAGAGAAGGATGAAAACGAGTGTATGTTTGCTGGTAAGATGTGTTTGACAGTTTGTGGTGTGGCAAATTGTGCACTGAGGTTTTTAATTTTATTAATGAAGAATGTGGCAAAGTCGTCAGCTGTTAGAGTTGATGAAGGAGGGGGAGGAGGAGGACAAAGGGGGGAGGAAAATGTTTTAAAGAGCATGCGAGAGTTAGGCGAATTGTTAATTTTGTTGTGATAGTATGTCCTTTTAGCAGTGGAGACATTAGCAGAGAATTAAGAGAGGAGTGATCGATATACATTAAGGTCAGTAGGATTTTGTGATTTGCACCATACTTTTTCTGCAACTCTGAGCTTAGAATGATGCTCACGGAGAACATCAGATAGCCAAGGGGCAGAAGAGGTGGTACAAGCTGGCCTGGACGACAAGGGGAAGACACTGTCTAAACAAGACGTAAGAGTGGAGCATAAAGTATCAGTAGCACTGTTAACATCAAGAGATGACAACACTTCTGGGGCTGAGGTTTATCTAGGTGGATGTTGAAGTCTCCAAGCATAACTAGGGGAGTACCATCCTCAGGAAAAGTTGAGAGCAGCACATCTAATTCATTCACGAAGTTACCTAGCGGTCCTGGGGGTCGATAAACAACTATAACATGGATTTTAAGAGGGTGGGTAATAGTGGCTGAATGTGATTCAAAGGAACTGTTGATACTCAGAGATGGTAAAGGATTACATTTCCAATCATTAGTGATAAGCAGTCCAGTACCTCCACCTCTTCCAGTCAGGAAGGAGTGGGAAAATTAGAAATTATTGGAGAGTGCTGCAGGAGTAGCAGTGTTCGGTCTTCACACGAGGGCTGTCGCGACCGCTGCCGCGGTATACTAAGCTTTTTATATTCGTCTAACAAAACTCAAATTGAATTCAGCTGGACACACTTTTCTGTTTATCACAACAAATGGCCAAGCAAAGCGCACGGCACTGACAAGGTACGCAATACAGTACGAGACCAAACGCGATTTCAGCACGTTTCCACACAGTAAACAAAACAAGCGTTTCCTAGCAACGACAACTGTGCTAAACACTGAGACAAGAAATAAATACACTTACGAGCTGCTTTTAACTTCTGCTGATTGACTGCTTCTCTCAAAGTGTATATCTTTACACTGTGTTTTGCTGGTGCTTGAACACACTTTCCTGTTTATCACAACAAATGGCCAAGCAAGCGCACGACACTGACAAGGTACGCAATACAGTACGAGACCAAACACGATTTATTTTAAATATAATATTAACTTATTGTTTATTAAACTGTTGTATAAAATAAAAACATTGTCATATTTCCTCTGTGACTAAATTGCTGGAACCTGACCAAGAACAGGGGAACACATTGGGGTTGAAATACACAAGATAACAAGGGTAGAAACAAGGGACAGGTAAGGGAGATTAGTGACTAAGGAAACTAACAAGGTAAGCAAAGAAACAAAAGGAAACGAGGATGTTTCACTTCAAAATAGGAGACCAAAGTACAAGACAGGGGAACACGAAACAGAAATCATAACAAACAAACACACCACCACAGGAGCATGGATTGAACACAGATAAAGGAATTTATTAATACAGAGACTAAGGTAAGGATGCAAAGGTGAGCATGCAGGTACGATAGTGTTTCAATAGCAGAAGCATCAGCAGAAGTGTGTGTGTGTTCACTACGCACTGCTATGTGTGCATGTGCACTTGGATGGGTGAAATGCAAAGCTTTTTTTTTTTTACCTTTCACAGGTAAGTATATCACATAATCAGGTAATCAACAAATAATTATATCAAAATAGTATTTTCCATTCTCTGGAATACATAGGTGATTCTCACGAAATCTTGGTTTTAAAAATGTCAAGCATGAAAATTAAAAAAATGCTTAAATTAACTTTTTTTTTTTTTCAGACATTAGCAACAAGGTCTGGAGTATTTGTGAACATTAATTAAAAAACTTATACTTACCATTTAACACCTTTTTGAACATAATTTCCAAAATAAGTCCTAAAAAAATCTCATTACCGCAATGGTCTGAAAACATCAACACTGTTAGAAAAGCAAATGCATTTTCACATATTTAAAAGTGGATTATTAATAGTCATGCACAGTTACTTAAAATTCTGAAATAATATTTATTTTTAATTTAACAGGTTTTTTTATTTTGATTGATTTCTCTCATTACCGCAACACCTTCCACAATTTACAACCATTTGTTTTGGTAATATTTCAATGAAACCTGACATTTTTTCAAAATGACGATGACAAACCCCGAAATAACATAATTTGTAGATTCTGCACATGCATTTAAAATCAATGTACTATTTTTCTATGAATGAAATTAACATCTAATGAACATCTGTTGTGGTAATGATATATAGGTTTCAGAAATGAGGTTAATTATTTCGGTAATGTTAAGTTTACTAGTCTGAGATAATGTAGAAAAAATCAGATAATATTTGCACAATCATGCATTCAAGTTCAAAAAATAAAAATTTAAGAAAAACATTAAAACAGGAATAAACAGGGCAACATTTCAACGTGTACCTAAAAAACATGAAGCATTTTACCATGGCACTAAAAAAATAACTGACCAACAAGGACAAATACCACACTCTGATTTGTCAGAACTTGTCACATGTATATTAATTCTTAACAACCATGACACACTGCTTCACTGTGTTGGGATAATCTTGGAGGTAGTATGCAAATGAACATCGTTTGGTGTCAGTGTTTTACACACATTTGTACTTTGCCCAGATCTCAGGCAACACAGAGAAGTGTCGAGCTGAGGAACAGAAAGTAGTGCAGCTGCTTTGTTTACAGGGTTTCCGGGGTAACGGCTGCATTTAAATGAATTATTATTATTGCTGCAGTTTAGCGCCATCTGCTGTCAGAGAGTGAAAGTGCGCTTTCATCCAGAGCGTCTCTCACATGTTCCGCCATGTGCTTCTCGTCCGCGCTTGTTTACGTCAGAGTGCGCACGCGTCTTTCACGCAGCATACAGCGGTCTTGTGCATTTTGACCAGTTGATGGGAAAAGTATTCTTAAAATGCATTCAAAATTCTGAATAACTTGTAATATATAATTATTCACGGTATTTAGGAGAGCCCACGATAACAATATCGTGCATATTCATTACCGTGATATATCGCACTACCGAATACCGGCACAAGTCTACTCGGAAGTCAAACTCCTTTGGACTGAAATATCCACAGGCAAAATCACAAAAGCAGGACACTTCTCTGGAGTAGATAAGGCCTGGTTTTGTCGATGTCAGCTTAAAGAGAAAAGAATGGTAATTTTAGATTGAATTACAGATATTAAATAGTAAATATATTAAATATAAACAGACATACTAATATCAAATAACAGATAAATAACATATTTTAATCTTCAGCTTCTCTCTTTTAGAGTTTTCAGGAAACTACCTCAATGAACCCACATAACTGTCTTTTTTTTTAGTTGTGTCCATACTTATACTTACACAGTATTTCAGTACCTAGTTTACTTTAGTTTTAAACCATCTCTTATTTACAGCTTTAAGAATATTTCATCCAGCAACTCAAAATAAAAAAATAACTTTTTCTCCTTTTAGGTATGGTTACCTTAGCCTATTTGCATTGAGTTTGAAAATGTTGTTCAATGTGTTTACTCACCTGATGAATTCTCATTGTCCCAGGTACTGTCTTCAGGCCCGGTGGTATTAATTCGGAACTTGTTTTGACATCTTCCTCCGTAATTTTAAAGAGCCTTACTGATGAATTAAGATTTAGCTGCTCAAAAAGTGTGTCGGCATCTGATATGCTGGTACCATAAGACACTATTCTGTCAGCCAGGTTTTTCAAGGCACCACCCACTCCACCAGGAGCACCCTTTCCATGGGATGCCTCTGTGAAGTTCCATGTTACACGATTAAATCCTCTCATGAATGGCACTGTCGAGGCTAGATAAAAGTTGGTTTTGTTCCGGTATTGAGATGTGGGCCCATCTGAAATGAAGTGGATGTTCCTTGCATTTGGATGCTCCTCTCGTATGCTCCTCAGTACCGGGTCAAGGTGAGCCCATGTGGCTATGGCATTGTGCTGAAGACAGTCTGAAAGCGATGCAAAGGACTTCACCTTCCCCTCACTGATATAAATAACTCCAGTATGGAGGATTACCTGCTGGTTGCCACCTCCAAAGTGAGCTTCTTTTATTTCTCTGCTATATTTACAAGTGTAGTTCT